TTGTTATCATACTTATTAGATTGTTATTATTATCATTACTATTATTATTATTATTATCATTATTATTATTATTATTATTGTTATTGTCCTTATTATTACTGTCATCATCATTATCATTATTATTATTGTTATTATTATTATTATCATTATTATTATTATTATTATTATCATTATTATTATTATTATTATTATTATTATTATTATTATTATTGTTATTATCATTATTATCATTACCATTATTTCTATCATCATCTTTCATATTATAACATTATTATAATTGATATTATTGTTTTCATCATTATTATATGCATTAATATCGTTATCATTATGTTAATAGCATTAATATTGGTATAATTATAATCATCATCATTATTATTTCTATTATTATTCTTATCATCATTATAATTATCATTTTCAATATAATTTTGGTTATCCTTATTAACATTGTAGTCTTTATTATTATTACTAATTATCATCATGATCATCATTATTATTGTTATTACTATAGCTGTTATTAACATCACCATTAATTATATTATTGCTATTATCATATTCGTTATTATCACCATGATTATTATTCTTATATTTTTCTTATTACCGTTATTATCATTGTTATTATTATTATTATTGTTATTATTGTTAGTAGTAGTAGTATCATTGTTACTATTATAATTTTATTATCCTTTATTATCATCATTATCCTTATTACTATTATCATTATAGTTATTATTTTTTTTTAATATTATCATGATTCTAATTGCTATTTCTGTAATTATTTTTGTTGTTATGATTATGATAATCATTATTATTACTATAATTGTTATTAATATTATTATTACTACTCGTACAACTACAGCTACTGCTATTGTTATTTCCGTTATTGCTGTTTTTGTTATTATTATCATAACCATTTTTTGGTTATTATTATCTTTATTATTATTATTATTATTATTATTATTATTATTATTATTATTATTATCATTATCATTATTATTATTATTATTATTATTATTATTATTATTATTATTATTATTATTATTAATACTATTATTATTACTATTATTATCATTATTATTATTATCATTATTATTATTATTATTATTATTATTGTTATTATTATCATTATTATCATTATTATCATTATTATTATTATTATTATTATTATTATTATTATTGTTATCATTGTCATCACTATTATCATTATTATCATTATTATCATTACTGTCGTTGTTGTTGTTATTATTATTATTATTATTATTATCACTGTCATTGTTATTCTTATTATCATTACTGTTGTTCTTGTTGTTCCTGTTATTATCATTATCATTATTATTATTTTTATTATCATTATCATTATTGTTATTATTATTGTTATTTTTATTATTATTATTATTATTATTATTATTATTATTATTATTATTATTATTATTATTATTATTATTATTGTTATTATTATTATTATTGTTATTATTATTTTCATCATCATCATCATAATCATTACCATTATTATCATCATCATTATCTTTTTACTATCATTATCATCTTTGTCATCATCACTATTGCTATGATCAACATTAATCGCTGATAATTTTATGACTACTAAAGTATCTCTACCTGCATAACTTTACAATACAATAACACAAACTTAAGAAAGTCACTAAAATAAACCTATGCCTTCCAGTATTGAGAAATTGGTCGCCATTTTGCCTTTGCTTTAGTTTCCCGTGAAAACAGACTCGTTTTCTGTGGTAATCTTGTTTCGGCATCACTATTTTCGACACAAAATTACTCATTTATCATTCATTACTAAGGAGACACTTGCTAATTTTGAATTTAACTTTCAATGATAGCTGTATTTTATGAAGGAGCTCCATAAGGAAGCATATGATATAGCTTACCGTGTACGCTATATTATGAAATGCAGTGCAAGATACTATTCACGAATCTTACCCTACCCTTTGTTATGTATGTTAATTATTATTATATTATCATTATTATCGTTATCATTGTTATTATTATTATTATCATTAACATTCTTATTATTAAGATTTCGCTGAGTCAAAGTATTCTATTATCGATAAATGGAACACACTAGTACGTAATGAACTTTAATGGATATCACTTCAATTAATGTTCATAGTTAAGCATATTAACAGTGAATGAATATATAGGTCGCGTCCTGTCTGTTGTCTATAATTTTGACCTGTCAGCTTATCTTGACAATTATATATAGCTTATGTTTAAAGTGTCTGCGCAGTTTACATACGTAGTGCTATTTCCGGTCTTTTATCACTCGTACTGTTACTTAGAAATGCACATGCCCTATTATAAATACATGAAAGGTTGTTATAGATATGTTCTGATGAGCTGAAGTCAATTAGAGTTACTATAGCGAAGTAAAATGTGTTATATCGGGTAAAGTTCTATTTAGAAATTATTGTCCACAGATAGTATGTTGATAATCGGATGGCTTTCAAAAGATACAAATATTGTAAAAGGGTGTAAAATCGTAGCAGAACATGACTTATATGAAACATAAAGAGGAACGAACGATACTTAAGGGTGTTGCCTATGTGAGAACAAGCGTGGCAAGTGTTTAGTATAGTGTACAAAGTTATCATTGGCTGAAGAAAGTATCCTCACAGTGAGCGAGTGAGGCGCGAGCGGCAAGGGAAGTCATGCTCTGTGTTGTGCCTGGCAGTGTGGGTTTCCCGTACGAGTGAGTAAAGAGCGTGTTACTCCCTGCTCTCTCTCTCTCTCTCTCTCTCGCTCTCTCTCTCTCTCTCGCTCTCTCTCTCTCTCTCACTCTCACCCCCCCCCCCTCTCTCTCTCTCTCTCTCTTTCTCTCTTCTTTCCCCCCACAACGCCCGCCCCGCTTAGAGTAGTAAAACCCTCCCTCTCTTTCTCGCTCCCCATACTCCCCTCCCTCCTCTTCTACGCTCCCCTACCCCCTCCCTTCCTCCTTTTCTCTCCCCTTCCCCTGCTCTCCTTTCCCTCCTCTCCCCCCCCCCAAACCCTCCTAACCTCTCACCTCTCCCCTTTTACCCTACCCTTCCCACCTGCTCACTCCCCCATCCCCCCCTCACCCGAGCCGAGCCTCTAGCCCTAACTCCCCTTCCCTCCCCTCTAGCCTTCCCTTCCCCGCCCCTCCCCTCCCCTGCCGGTACCTGCTCCTCGGTTGCCAGTTGTAACACCATCATATACTCCCCTATTTCCGCGCCTTTCGCCATCTCGCCTCGCTTTAAAAGGCGGACGGAATGCGCTGCAAGAGTGAGGGAAACGCAGCCTCAAGTAGCGCCATGCAATATACATATGTATATATTTGTGCGTCATGGATTGTCGTTTCTAAAGCTCTTATATCCCCCTATAAACATGTATGCTCTTCGATAAGGGTGTATTTCCTCTCTTCCTGTTCTGCCTTAGGTTCTTCCTGTTCCTCCTCACCCTCATCATCATTGTCATCGTCATCATCGTCATAATTATTTGATTCCTTTAACTCATTGCTTTCGTTTCTATTTTTTTCTTCTCCTAACTCTCCTCTATCTCTTCTTCCTCTTCTACCTCTTCTCCTCCTCATTCTTCTTTCCTTTCTTCTCCTTCTCCTCATTCTTCTTTTCTTTCTTCTCCTTCTCCTCATTCTCCTTTTCTTTCTTCTCATTTTCATTCTTCTTTTCTTTCTTCTCCTTCTCCTCCTCCTCCCCCTCTACCTTCTTCTTCCTCTTTTACTCCTCCTCCTCCACCCTTTCTACCCCTTCTTCTTCTTCAACTCCTCCTACTACTCATCCTCTCCCTTCTTCATTCCCCTATCCTCCTCCCTTCCTCCCTCCCTCCTCTTCCTCCTCGCAAATGCTGCGCTGTGCCGGGCCGGGACCTCGCTCGCTCGCTCCCGTAATTCTAAAACATTCATGCTTTAAGATTTGCGGGAAATGTCGATCTCGCGCAACCAAGGGGGGGGAGGGAGGGAAGGAAAGGGGAGGAAGGAGGGGCACGTTTAGCATAGGGATGGGTGGAGGAGGGAGGGAGGGAGGGATGGAGGGAGGGGAGGGGAGGGAGGAAGTAGGGGCACGCTTAGCATAGAGGAGGGAGGGAGGGAGGGAGGGAAAAGAGAAAGAGAGAGAGAGAGAGAGAGAGGGAGGGAAAAGAGAGGGACCCTCCGCCCGCCCCTATTCAAAAAGACTCCTTCCTCCTCCTCTCGCTCTCTCTCTCTCTTCCTCTTTCCTTCTCCTTCCTTCCTCCTCCTCTTCGCCAGCCATATCACCCACCACCCATATCCCTCCTAAGTTAACCAACCCTACTTTCTAATGAAATAAAGAGCCAATATCTGCCCTAATAAGCGAGAGTTCCCCCCTCCCCCCCGGCGAGACAGATGGCGTGGCCTCAGAAAACCTTAACAAAAGAAAAGGAGAAGAGGAAGAGGAAGAGAATTATTTGAAACTGTTCGCATGACTTTAAACCCTTGAATTATTCACGTGTTGTATTTGGGATTATTATTGTTGTTATTTAGGTTATTAGGTCTTTTAGATTGTTGTTTTTTTTAAAGGGGGATGGGTTGGATTTAAGGTTTACTTGAATTATTATTTTGGGGTTTTTGAACTATGTATATTTTTTTAATTAATGTGTTCAATTATTGAGTTGCTGGTGATTGGTTTTGTTTTGTTTTTTATTATTGTTATTTGTTGTATTCTATCTATCTGAATTTTGTTTTGTTGGATTTAACGAAGGATAGGTATGTAAATAGATTAGGATAGATTAAGATGATGCGACGTTTAGGCGAAATTATTCTTTTTTTTTATTGGCATCTCTGGGTTTGAAGAGAGTACAGTCATTTAATTCAGCCCAAGCGCCTTTAAAAGCACAAACTCCTCTCAAAAGAACATCCTCCCCGTCCTCCTTACACATTACAACCCAACCAAGCCCACTATAAATAAAAAACGCACAAAATACCCCATTTATGCAAAAAAACCGCAAGACGAATAATTTGCAAGTGAAGCCGAAGTCAAGAGCGCGAGGATCCGGACAGCGAGAGTTGGGTGCCGGGACGCCGCTGCGACTCAAAGGGACTCGAAGAACCCGAGAAATACTTGTTTTAAGCCGGAATGACGCCCGAGAAGCGACCTGCCGAGGAGGAGGAGGAGCAGGAGCAAGCCAAGAAGCTGAAGGAGGACGAGGACGCCACGGCCTCGGCCTTGAAGGAGAGTGTGGAGGACGACACGAGCCAAGATAGCGTGGCGTCGGACTCGGCCTCGGCCTCAGACCCCGAGAAGAAGGTAGGCTTTGTGAAGGGACGCTGCCTCGCTCCCTGCACCCTGCACCCTTGCACTCTTGCACGCGCTCTCTGGCCCTCGCCCTGGCTGGGTCGGCCCTCCTGCTGCACCGCCTGTCAGATGGGGCCTTCACAGGTGGTCGTCCCGGGGCTTTGTCAGGGGACGCTTCCCTCGGCCTCACCCTGCACCCTGCACCCTTTTCCTCCCCTTCTCCCTTTCATCCTCGCTCTTCACCCTTGCTTGTTCATTAGAAGTGCCCCCTCTTTGCCATCCTGATTATCTTTCATTCTTAAGCTCGTACACCATCTTTCTCCCTTTTTATTCACCCTTCACCCTTGCTTCCTTATTCTCTCATCTCCTCCCTTCATCCGCTCTGCACCCTTGCTCGTTTATTAGAAGCGCCCCCTCTTTGCCATCCTGATTATCTTTCATTCTTATGCTCGTACACCATCTTTCTCCCTTTTTATTCACCCTTCACCCTTGCTTCCTTATTCTCTCATTCTCCCTTTCATCCTTCACCCTTGTACACTTTTTCTCCCTTTTGCTTTCTCTCTCACCCATGAACACTCTTCCCACCCTTGGTAAACGTGTAGGAGCCAAGTGCATCGTTTGAAGGCACTGTATCTGCGACTTTCAGTGCCTCTAAAAGACCAGTAAGGCTCTATCATGTTTATTTTGAGAAGATGGAACTTGTAGACATTGTTGCTAATTATATCTTATTAAAGAACGGAACCAAGCTCTGTCTAATCTGGATATATGTGATGGAGGCTCGTTTCTCTTTGCCGGAGGCTCGGAAGCATCAACCACTGCTTGTGTTGCTGTCGAGTGTAGGCCTTCCATTCTTTATCTCTGTACGTTTGGTGATGATTTGGATAGAATGCAACCGTTATATATGTATCGTATATTTATGAGGTGAAATAGTTTGAAAGCTGTTTACCCACCCTGTTTTTTTATCCATTAAACTTGCTCGGTCTTTGCCCCTACCTTTTTCCCTCCTAACATCTTTCACTCTCTCTGTCTCTCATGCATTTGGTCTTTACTGCCTGGATCTTTTATAGGTAGTAAGTCACGGGTTGGAGATTCAGATGGAGATTCCCTGATGCAGCCTTTAAAAAGATCAGATCTCGGGTAGAGCTCAGAATGGTATATAGTGGGACCAGGTCAGTCTGTCAGAGGTTGGCATTGGTTCTGATGGGGAAATGATTTTGTAGAACTCTGTTCCACTGTAATCCTTCTGTTATAACCTAGGTTAGGTTTGGGTAGAGTGGCTGGCATGAAAACACCTTGATATTAGAAATTCACTTATTTAAAAACAATCATTACTTCTGGAAATACCCTTATAGTCAACCCTTACTTTGGTTTAGCTTTTTAAAGGCTATGGAATATTTTAATTGTACTGCTAAAAGTTTCAGTAACTATAACACACATGCCCTTCCTCAAATGGTTTCTACACCACTGCTCTGGAAAAGCCAAAGAAAACAGTTGAGGTATATCATGCCTGGCAAGACTGAGCTTCTAGACCTTCTTTAGGAATTTGTTGTCCAGTAAGAAATTAGTCCAAAATCAGTCTTACCAAAATATAGGTGATGACTACTTGTTAACCTTAGCAGAAGGGCCAAAGTGCAAGGGCTGTAATGATCATTTTACACTGTACAGTCAGAAAAAGATATATATATATATATATATATATATATATATATATATATATATATATATATATATATATAGACACACACACACACACACACACACACACACACACACACACACATACACACACACACACACACACACACACACACACACACACACACACACATACATACATACATACATACATACATACATATATACATATAACCTAACCTTTACGTGTTCAATGAGGAATGGAACGCTTCTCTCTGTTAACACTGGATTAGTGTGCCGAATACCTTGCCATGCTATTCCACACCACTTCTAAGATTTTTATATTAGTTTGTTCATAGGGTAACAATACTTATTTTTTAAACTGTACATGCATATATGTATATATACATGAGTATTTATTTACATATACATATACAAATATATGCATATATATATATATATATATATATATATATATATATATATATATATATATATATATATATATATATATATATATATATATATATATATATGCATGTACATAGATGTATATACATATGCATGTACATAGATGTATATACATATGCATGTACATAGATGTATATACATATGCATGTACATAGATGTATATACATATGCATGTACATAGATGTATATACATATGCATGTACATAGATGTATATACATATGCATGTACATAGATGTATATACATATGCATGTACATAGATGTATATACATATGCATGTACATAGATGTATATACATATGCATGTACATAGATGTATATACATATATACACATATGTATACATACATATATTCATGAATATATGTATGCATATATATCTGCATGTGTATATATATATATATATATA